TTGTAATGCATGAAAAATAAGGTGGCTTTATTATGCTTGCCAAGTTTTTAAAAAAAAAAACCCTCCAAAAAAACATTTACCTGAGAAGCTTTGTTTTGCTTGATTAGTCTGACCAACTGTGTCTCCTCCTAACCACAGTCTGAATCCAGCCAGGACTTAAATTTCCTCCTGCACAATTAAAACAAAACAAAACAAAACATTAGTCTGAGCTTTAGCTCTTAGAAGCTAGTATTATGGTTTTCTGAATGTACACATAAATGTCTATGTGAGAGGGGTTATGGGAAACTGGCAGTTTCAGAGAAGAAGCTAAATAGAAGCAGCTAAACTCTGCAGCCTTCAGCACCATTGTATGTTTTATTGGAGCCTCCAATCAAAAGCAAAAAAGGTTCAATCACGGCCTGTAACATCCTGGTTTCACAGCTGCCCGATCTCGGTGAACAATAACCCCGCTCTGTGGCGTTTCCCCACTTTTGGTCTTTCACATGCTTAAACAATGAAGCTTCAGCCTATAAGGAGCGAGGGTAAATCTTGTCACAAAGGGGGTATCGATTGGTAAAAACAATCTGTCAATGTCTCAGTGAAAAGTAAGTGTGTGTGTGTGTGTGTGTGTGCTACAAAACAGGGGACTGATTGATTTCTAATCTACTTAACTTGACACATTGTGGAGCAATACGTCCGCTCTGCAATTCACAGCCTGTAAGTAATCGAGTTGCGGACACCTGCTGTGGGAATTAACTCAATAAAGTTCTGTTTAAGTTTTGAACAGACTTGATCTTTTCTTTGTCCAAATCTCATATAATTTAACAAACTGGCTAACTCTATTATTTCTCCATTTGTCTTTCAGATATTTCCAGGATTGCCTACTACACAGGTAAGTAGCTGACCCACAGTTGCCATAGAAATAGCAATTGGATAACATCAATTTAACCTAAGATATTGCTTTTAAGTTGCCTCTCGGTTTTTATTATTATTTACTCAAAGATAACATTTCACATGTGTTATCTGTATTATTTTATTCCCAAAAGGTAATGGCAGTGGGAATGTAGCAATGTATTATTGTATGACATGACCATAAGATATATATTATATCATCATATATTATTTGTATTATCCTATTTGTGGTCTACACAGTTATTTATTCAGAAAACAGAAACATGGCATCCTATTATAGGCATCCTTGAAGGAAGTGCACAAATATACATCGTCAGACTCTGTGCTTCTGCTAATGAACAGCTGAACTAGTAGCAAGTGCTTATTTGAGTCATGTTTGTGATTGTGTAAGACAATTAAAGCAGACAGAAAACAGAGGGGGACTATTTATCTGTGCGTTTGTGTCGACATGTTGGCCTCGTTAGTGAGCAGGAGTGAGGAAGAGAGTGAGAGGCTGTGTGTCAAATTAGAATATTCACACAGAAAACTTGAAACAACAACTCGAGGGTCGGGCTGCACGACTGTGGCCAAAATGATTATCAAGATCATTTTGCTCAGTATTAGTACCCCAATTATTCATGAGTTTATGAGTTTTTGTTGATTTATAGCGACTAAAACATTTTCATTGCACTGTCAACATAAAATTAGTCCTCCTTATTCACCTAAATGTAATGTATCGTGTAGAAAGAAAAAGATAAATAATTTAAAAAACAAAATGAAATCAACAACGCTCTGCTCCCGTTTTTATATTTGTTGATATTTTTGATAATCGAAACGTCTAATAAGTTTCTAATAAAGTATTTATTTACTGGATCTAAGTACATCTCCTATGTTTACGTTTTCCTGAAGTCTCAATTGCTCAGCGTGTTTGTTAGAGATATCTTTGTGCAGATGCAACTGTGTTCATGATTTCGGTGCGTCTTTGTGAGCTGGATGGATGCACTGCTGCGCTGTACAGATTTTTATGAATATCTGAGTTGATTCATGATTCATCCAAGATTCATGTTGGCAACCACTGCATGTTTTTCTTGGCCTTCATCCATTTGGTGTACTGGAGCTAGTGCTGTGTTTTGATTTTGTTGAACAAGTTAAGGTGTCATGCTTTATGGTGTAGGCTCTACGGCGCTCTTTGCACGTGATTTGATCCTAGTTAACATGACTTGTGCTAAATCTAAAGGCAATAATCCACTTCCACGGACAAATTCTTCACCTTCTGCAGTGCTAGATATTTGTTTAATTTCGACAGTCTGCTATTTGTTATTCCAGAAAAATAAAAGCTGAGCTGTGCAGGGAACAGCTGCGATTGGCAGATGCAGGCATGTCGTCAGGCAAAGATTTAGGGATCGCTTTATTTGCTTTTCCTTGGTTTGCTTTTGTCGATTATGTTCGTTTAATTCTGGGAGGCCAAAATCACAAACAAGATTAAAAATCAAATTAATTGTTCGGGCCTACCTGAGGACTTACTGCAGATTAGTGCTGCGTGTCCACAAGCTACACAATTAGCTCTTTGTCTGGCTTTAATCCCCTCCACTTATCATCTAGACAAATTAATTTATCAGATGATGTTACTTTTTATTTCTCAAAGCACCGACGTTTTTGTAACATGTTCAGAGCTTCCCTCTGGAGCATAGCTTAACAATGCTCATGGCCAGGTGTGAGGAAGTAAGAAAAATGAAAAGGAAGAAGAGTTGGTTGGACCGCATGTTTTTAGAATGACACCAGTGTCTTGTGTTTTATTTTAACATATTTCCAAAGTATAACTTTTGGACATTTTATTCATGCTCTAATTTCGGTGTAATCATCTAATTAGTCTAATCATTAAGTCACTTTATTTTGTGTTTGACAGACAGACGTCTGTAGTACTGCCTAATAACTGCTCTACAGATGAACAGGGGGAGCTTAAACGAGTTAATGAGCTGTGACCAAGTAAAAGATTGTGTGGAAATTGCAAGCAGAAAATAATTTGTGTTTAATTCATGAGGTAAAAATCTAACATGTTTGAAATTCAAAGCTCTTCACCTTCAAGGCATCGACACAAACACGCTGATTGTTCGCTAATAAAACATCACCACATCAAAGTGGATAGTGCAGATCTGAGGTTTACCTGCTGCTTTCAAATGTTATTTACATTAAGTAGGTAGTGGGTGCTGTGCTTCCCTCCTGTGCTTAAAAAACATGTTCATAAGCGCACAGCACAATATGAACAGAGACTTTGGCTCAGGCCCAAAAAGCTCTTCCCATTCATGGCAACATCCGGCCCCCTGACAAAAGGCTTTCAATAGTCCACACACCCACATCCACACTCTAACCCCCTTTCCCATTTTCATAACAATGGCCTATGCGTGAGATGGGCTGCAAATTATAGGAAACTCACACGTGCACACACACATGCACACCCAAATGGCTGCTCAGTTAAGCAGCTTTAGGACTTGGTGGCGAAATCTTAAGTTTTAAGCTAATTTAAGATTTTGTGAACACTTGTGTGTTTTTAGTATTCAGGCCTGTTTTTGTTCTTCAGGTGAGATGTGTTCACACATAATTAAACATTTTAAAAAAGCCCATAATTTGGATGTTTTCGTGCAGCTAAACATTTTCTCCAGTGTTAGTACATTCACCCAGACTTTGCCAGCTGGGTATGTTTTCCAACTTGCTGGCTGTTCTGTAACACAATATTCATGCAGCATAATCTGTGAGATTGCTCCTTTTAATTCATTGCTCATTTAATACAAATATTTTCAAAGCCAAAGTAATATTTTGGGCACTGGCTTAGTGCCACATAAGTGACCACGTTTAGTTGAGCACAGCCTTTGTTAACCAGCTGTATCCCTAAGGTATACAGATGCAGTACAAACATGGATACCTGGTAATTAGTGCTATTTACCTAGAGACTAATGAAATGCTTGAATTTCACTCACCAAAACTTTTTGAATGTGCTGTAACTCACATCAGGCCATTGTATTTAGTGGATCATTTAATTACAAATGCTCCAAAACCAGTTGAGAGGTCCAGTTCAGCGACTTGAATTACTTAAGGTGAGGACCAGACCAAAATGGTGTTTTATACCTGGTTATAAACATTTTTTGTTCTCATGTAGTTTGGCTTTACGGAGGGAGATCTGCGGGGTCCGAATCGCTTTTAGAGCCAGCCTCAAGTGACTGTTTTTGGCACCTCGACGCTGACTTAGTTTTTCAGCCAAGGTTGCCGCTTGGCTGAACATAGAAATTCAAAGCAGTACTTAACAAGCAGCCTGATAGAGCTGGGTATGGGGACACTTTATTAGGGATAGTTGGCAGGGGAGCTCTGTGTGTTTTCTGGCTGAGGGGCTTTTTGTGCAGTGTGGAGTGTGATCTTCTGAAAACCTTGTGATTGAAGTGGGTTGCTTTGCCATATTGGGTGCAGCTGCTAGTTTACAAACTGGGAACAGTGTCGGTGGTGGAAGAAGGTTTTTTTTTTTCTCTTTATAAAATAAATAACATATTTGTGTTTTTGTTTGTTTGGCTGTAACGGTGGTTTATAAGAAATAGAGTTCAGGGTGGTGTTGTGGTTGACTGAGCTTGCAAGACCCTGCATGAGTGAGGTCATGTATGCCATTATGAAACGACAGTATGAAAAGGACTTTAAATTCTGTTAATAAAGATATAGTTTTCTTTTTTATTGAATTTAAGTAATATTTATCTCCTCTCTTCAGTAACACATGCATTATGCTTGCAAGGAGGACTTTCAGAGTTGTTCTAAGGGACTGCTCTTTTGAGCAGTGTTAATATTAGTTCAAGATGAGAACTGTTCTGAGGTCAGCTTGAGCTAAAGTGGGAGGGTTTATTGCATAGAGGGGACAGGATTAGCATATTAATAGTTTCTGGCTCCTCCTACCCCTCCAGCAGCCCTCTCTGGAGCGCTCTCATTCCCCACTCAACTTTCTTTCTGTTGCGTTGCTCTGTTCTCTTTTACTTCTCATTCACCTTAAAACAATTGCTGCATTTCTCTCTCTTTCTCTCTCTCTTGGCTTTGTTTTTTCTTGGTCAACTTTTTTTCTCTTACTTTTGTTTCCAAGAGAAGATCTTTTTTTTTTTTCTGACTGAGCACAGTAATTGCCTCTTGGTGTCTGACCACTAGCTAACTGAAGGTCCTCTGGATGCGCACTATTCAGTTGGATTTTTGGCTTTAAACTTTTTGCTCCCTCTCAACAACTCGGGGAACTTCGCTGAATGAAATAAGCCGAATTCGAAAGCCTCCTGACACTTCCAAGGCAACTGTGTAACTATGGAGTGCAGGCATGGGGCAGAAATCGGGCAAAAAGCAAACAGTGTGTTGTCATCAGAGAGGGGCCGCTGAGGAGTGGACAGGAAAAAAAAGGAGGAGTGAAGTTTGTGGATGAAAGTAACTTTCTGTCTCTGGAGAGGGTTTTTTTTGTGTTGTGGAGCTTTTGGATAACAGGAAAAGATTAAGAGAAGACGCATAAACAAGAAGAAACTTTCCCTGATTTTGTTTTTCTCTTGGATTTTCAAACTGCAGACAAATTGTCAGCAAACTACAAAGTATTCATTTTTCAGGATTGCTTCTTTTACCTCTCTATTACTGCAGCTTTTGCCAAGGAGAAGCAAACTTTGTAATGAGAGACGTTTTGTTTTTTCTTCGTCGGAGACGCCGTGCTTGTGTAAATTAGTGTTTGGATTATGAGAGGGTTTTCTTGCAGCTGTGTCAGGAGCTTAGTGTGTTTGTTTAACTCCTGCGGACGAGAACTTCACTGCATGTGATGCGTGGTTGTGAAGCTGCAGGTTGCCTGTCTGTCCTCGACGCGGACAGGCACAGGGAGGGAGAGACATGCGTTTCCATGGCGACAAGTGGCTGTAGCCCCTTCCCCATGTGTTGGGAGAGAGGTATGAATGAAATCTTCTTTCTGCATAGACTCCTCAC